CTTAATTACAAGTTTACATGTGTAATAGTTTTTGTGTTTTTGTTTGTATGTTCACCTGTAGATGAAGTGTATAGACATAGATTATCTGCTAAGACAAGTCTGTAAATTTAGATCCATGGATGTATAATAAAGAGAAACTGAGAACTAGATTTCTGTTGTTTTCAACAAATCCGTCAGATGTGGAGGGTGAAATGCAATGTGATCCATGTGATAGTAGGGGCATTATTGGCTTAACCCCCAAACTGGGAGAGTAGCTCCAGCAGATCAGGTACAACATCTGAAGCCTCTGTGTAGAAAAGCACGGTCCTGGAAACAGCTAAAAACTATGCAGAACCCTCAAACTCCCAGGTCTCTGGTAGAGGACCCAGGCTTGAGAAAAACATACCCCCCATGTGTGGGCTGCGAGGTGAAATTTGATACATCTATAGTTGTTTTTTTAAGATGCACATTCTCATTTGAAACCAGTGGTTCAAGGGTTAAGATGGACTCAAGGTTTGCTGACTGACTGAAGCTGCTGAGCCTGAAGTCGAAGCTCTCAATTTACCATATCATTTACGCCCCTCATCCATGGTGACAGGCATTGGGTAATTACTGAAATGATGAAATGACAGTTACAAGTGAGTGATATTAATTTCCGTCATGGGTGGTGCGAACTCAGACTAGAAGCACTGCACCATTGTATCTTAAGGAGTAAGATGAAGTGGTTTGGCCATCTGATAAAGACTGGTCCCTCCATTTGAAGGATTTTTGGGAAGGAGAGCAAGGAGTGGACCCAAAACGCACTGCAGAGGTTATATATGCGGCCTGGGCATGGCTCAGGCCATGGTAACCAGCCCCCAGGTAAGAGCCTGCATATTGATAGAATTGAATGGTGAAGTCTTTCCATTTATAAGTTCAATGTGTAGAATTTAGTGACATCTAGTGGTAGCCTTCATAAAAACTCAAAAGGTGTTTAGTTTGTTCAGTTGGACTACTATAAAAAAAATATGGGAGCCTCCGTAGAGAGGACCCACTCCACATGTATTTATTAAGGATAAATTATTAAGTATTTAAATACAAAGGCTCATTCTAGGGTAAAGAAAATGATGATATCACACTAGTGAAAACATTATTTTATATTCAATTTCTGCCTATAGCTCCCTTTGGTCTAAATATTTCATGATCTTTAAGATGAAATAAAAGGAGGGAACTGTTTGTTAAGACATAACCCATAGCGCATGCGTGGGAAACATTTATTTGATAAGTACTTTGACTTTTTCATTTGGTCCATGTCCCATCTGCTAACATGGAGGAGGTGAGGTTTATGACCTACACTGAAGCCAGCCACCAGGGGGAAATCAAGATGTTATGGCTTCAGACTTGGGAGCTGTCATCTTTAAATGCAGTCATTGGTTTTACAATAATATAACAAAACTACTGTGTCTTAACACAATGCATACACAAATATTTAATCATAAAAAAGAGGTTAATCCAAGAAAATGAAAGTAAAGCATTGTCTTTTGTCACATTCCTACTTCTTGGACAAACCCAAACATTTTCATTGGACAAGGAAGAACAATCTCAGACATTAAGACCTTACGTTGTTTGTTGCATTTGATTTCAGAATTCAGTGTTGAAAGGCAACATAGGCAGGCTTACTGCTGTGTGGAGAAAAGAGAAAGTGAACTTTAATCTTTCTGTGTCAGCTGACTAGAGATAAACTACTGCATGGGGCCCTGCCTCAACAGCACCAGAAACATTACACATATTACTTCACACACAAGAACACTAAACACGCAATAAAACAATAGCCACTATCCTCAAAATGCAAGTTGTATCCTTAAAATGTTTTCTCTAAGATTAACCTGAATTAGAAACCTTTACCTGAATTAGAGAGGAGAAGCAATTAGAAAGCAACCATGAGACACATTTTCTTGAGTGATCTCTGAATAGAGACAAAAGTGAGCAGACTGCTGTCTATCATTGGGTGGCTTTTCAGGTTCCGCCACAGTGTTTTAGAACACAGGGAAAGGCAGGTTTGTATGACCAGGTTTCATTCAGGAATGTCAGCACGTAACAGGTTGTTGTAGAAAGAGGGACGGAGGGAGTGAGCCAAAGAGAGGAGGGACAAAGAGCAGGAGAGGGAGAGAGTCATAAATACAATAATTACAGCTTAGACAGAAATAAACGACGCACTCTCCTGGTCCCACAGACTGCCTCCGTAGCTAACAACACTGCTGTCCCACTGACAGGAGGAAAATAGAGAGCACGAGAACCACCTACCTGTTCTCTGAGTTGTTTGTACTGTATTGTACTGGGATTTATTTTGACTACAATTTCTTTTTTATTTCAAAGCATGGATTTGCTTCTGGATTTTGGCTAATTATGACAGATTTCCTTCTCCTAGTTTTCTTCAAGCCAAACAGGATTTTCTGGACTCATTTCACTCACGAGAAAAAGTAGTGGGAATCAGTATGTCTGTGACTGCCCTGTTCAGGGGCAAGTGGGGGCAGAAGACACAGGAAACCCCAGTGAAGCCTCCAGCTGCTGTGGTTCAGTCAGAGGATGATGACGAGGATGATTCCAAAGCTGGTTTCACCCGAGAGCCTATTCGTAGGAATTCCCGCTTTTACCGGTCAATGAGGAAAAAGAGGCTGGTCTCATCTGAGCAGTCTGAAAGTAAGAGAACATCAGGCCTTTGCTATGCTCTGAGTGTAACTTTGTATTTTTACTGTATATTGGAGATTACTTTTCTCTCATTTAATAATTAAGTGTTTTACCTAACTCAGACCATTTTGCAGTTACTTAAAAATATGTATTAACAGCCTTCATTAAAGGGCTAGAAACTAAGCTCTGTCCCAGCTTTAGTTATGGAGTTATGTTGGATACTGTATACTGCTGCTCTATATTGTTGTCCCATTCATGCAGTTGATGCTGCTGTTATTGAAAGTGGAACAAAGGCTTGGTAGTCCTATGCTCCAGTAGAAATCTAAATGAATACAACTTGAGAAACTGGTTCTGTTTAAACAGCACAATAGTCTGAGTATTACTTTTCGCTCCCACAGTCATCTTCTACCTTAAGGATTTCAAGTTCAAAAATGCCTGAAGTTTGTGTGTTCAAATGACACAAACAAATACAGCCAAGCAGCAAAGTTGTCCACATACGGCAAACTGATGGGAGTTTAATAGGAGACTAAGATAGAATAATAGTGATAAATCATTTTACGAAATGTTTTCCATACTGTACATTTGTCAGTTTTTTCTACAACAAAGGACTCTATTCACAAATGCAACAATAAAGTGTTTGAGCTTAGACTTTGCCCAGCTTCTCAGATAGGCCTCTGGCAGGGATCTAACAAATTATTAATACATAACTACCTGAACCCTTATGGCCTGAAACACAAAGTGTGTTTTCCAAGGTACTTTCCTTATTGGGAACTCAGAGATCACATATTGATTAAAATATTGTTATCTCACACCACCAGTTAATACCTATAATGAGTATTTAGAATGATAGCTTTGTTCTTTGCAATTCAATAAGGAAACAGTGTGATCCTGCTTTGATTGCAGGTTTAATTATACACAGCAGATGTACAGAAATTCAGATTCAACTGTACTCACAATGTTAAATGCATTTACTATGTAGCATATGTATATTTAATTCAGCAATTATGTCATTTAAGAATCCCCATAAAAAACTTACAATAATATATAATATGTTTTATCTTTTTTCTGGAATAAAAGAAGATGAGAAGATCATTGAATTCTGAAGATCATTGAATTCTGTAGCTTGCAGGACACAAAAACAGCTAGTCTCCTTCCATCAGACGTGTCTGGCTTCTTAAAACCTTCTCATTGACATTATTTATGTATTTTTAAACAGTACGTTGTGCTTCTTGCAAGAACAGGTACAAATGAATGTGTTCCTATGTTGAACAAAGAAATGATTTACGAGACTTCTCTATATTTACAATTTCAATCTACAAATGAATTAATGGATAGTTTCCCTTTCTTGCCCTGGCGGCTCACCTAATTGACACATTCTATGTAATAAGGCTGAGTCTTTACCTCATCCTTCAGCTTTTTCAGTGCCACAAACAGAAATTTAAAAAAAACACAGGGTAACTTTGCATTTAGTCCTTATATACAGTCTATGATTTAGTCACATTGATACAGAGTGGTAATACTATAGTATCTTTCAAACACAGTGAAATACAATTCTTAGGTAAGTGCTCCAACTTTTGAAATCTTCTCTAAATGTGACAAACAAGTTTCCCTTATAGGCTATATTATATTAGTAATGAACTCCCTCCATGTTCCTCAAAGAATAAAACTGCTGATCTGCATAATAGCAGCAAATCACAGTATTAACATCTAATTAGTGACGACTGGGCGACATAACTGACGACATAACTTAGCCTTTTATAAATTTAATATTTAATAAGCATCCGACAAATAAAAAAAAAGCATACCTGAATAAAACCGTCCAACCATTATCTATAATGCTTATCCTTTGAGGGAGGTGGAGCCAATCCCTGCGAGAAGCGGGGTACACTCTGGACAGGTTGCTGTCCATCACAGAGCTGACATATACAAACAATCATTCACTCTCACATTCACACTTGCAGGCAATTTAATAGAATCTCCAGTTAATCTGCATGTCTTTGGACTGTGGGAGGAATCTGAGTTGAGTAAGACCTGTTAGATGTATATTAATCACATTAATTAACCCTCTAAGTTGTGAACAGTTTTGTAACATCCAACTTGTAGTTGTTGGTGAACATTTAACTGACCATGGTATGTGCCAGGGGGTTTGTAAACTTTTTAAACTTGACTGTGGTGTTTTACTCTGCAACCCTATATGTGGAAGTCTAATGACTACTCAGGTTTTGTCATGTTGTCACTATTTGCTTGGCTGGACCAGTATGGCTCGCACTGGCTAATGTTTTGGTAACATGTAGTTATGTTGTATCCTGTTAGGCTGCCAAACCTTGCAGGAATCCAATTTAATTCAACTTCTTCCTGTTTACCACACTTAAGGCGAAAGACTAGGACTTATTTAATACTTCATTTGCTGAAAGAGTAAAATAGAGTGGCTAAAAGGCTCTGGTCTCTAACAGTCAGCTATAGTTATTGAGAGCATGGTAAAAAAACAAAAAACAAGACCAACCATGAATATCACTTATTGACTTTTTACATCCATTTACATGTATTGGTTTGGCACCAGATCAAAAGAAACCTGTTGTGTATTTTTGGGAAAAAAACATTTTTTGATTGACTCATTCTTCCATGTGCATAGTTAAAGTGTAAGTATTAGTATTCAAGTGTGTGTGACCAAACAACATGTAAGTAAATGCTATTTTATGATGCTGATGCGGCTCCAGTTTGAAATGTCTCCTAACATCTTAAAAAGTACTATATTGATGTTTGATGTTTGAACAGCATATACCCTATACCTCCTAACTAGACATAATAATACTAAAGTTCTAAAGTGAATTCTGTCACTAAAGAAAAAGCACTGACGCATCATCAGTTTATTGCACAATCTGAACTGAGGCCTTGGGTGTGTTCTCTCGTCTGTAGTCAGGTGACCTTTGTAATGGAACTGTTGACTATTCAGATGACAGAAAGACAACAGCAGCTAAACATAGTACATATATAATATGAAGCGTTGTGGGATATAGA